AGATAAGATTGTTTGGCTCAGTTCCAACTATGTTGAAGCATTCGAAGAGTTCTTCCTTGTTTTCATTTTTGGGGGCTCTTGGTCGACCAGCTGAAAGACTAGATAACTAGATGGTTTATACAGAGCAAAACAAAACATTTACAAAACTGTAAGTAACATATGCTTCTCCTATTGACACCTATAGTTTGCATATCATAAAGCAGGAGCAAGACTTCAGAAGTCCAGAGTTACCATTAACTGCCCTTCCTGGTTTACGGAAGAGGGTTTCTGGCAGAACTGCCCTAAGACATGAAGAAAGGGCAAGTGATCAGGCCGCAAATTTGAACCTTTAACCAGTATTTGCTTGCTGATGAAAATACAGCAGCTTTTTATCTGAAATAGCCACCACCTCTCTAATCTGAGTGCTAGTCATTTAGGAAACCCTTCTTGATTTGGAGCCTCATAACCCAACTGTTTGTTGTTGGATTCAACGGGAGAAATAGGACATTGATTACTCCAAGAATGCGAAGTTAACAATTGTGACGCCCCATGCCTCGAGTACTAGTGCCCAGCCTGAACCGATACTATTGCCCTAAAGTGTAGGACACTGAAGTACCAAGATCCTCCAATAACATCACAAGTCATAAGTCTCCACGAAACAAAATTCAATAAAAAAAATAAGTAGAGTTCATATTTTCATTATACTCTCTAAATTTTCTTGATCCAACTCAAATAACTAAAAAACAACTTAAATTCTTTTCCAAGTTCTCCCTCCTGCATGACCTCCACAATGGTTGGCCCTAATCACAATATCCTAGGAAGGGAAAGACGCCCTAAATTAGCTACAAAGTTCAGTGAGAAAGTAAGAAAATAAGACAAATATCACGAATATTAAGGAGATGATGCAAGGCAAGTATGGAAGAAAGTATGTAAAAGAGATAGTCATGCATTTCAAAGTACCATTTAAAACCATCTAATCTTTCCCATAAATATTATCTTCTTTTTAGAGTTAAATTCAGTATATATAATGGTACTTAAAGAGATACTCTATGTATTTCAAATCAACATTTAAACCATTTTAATTTTTCCCATAAAAATCACCATCTTTTTTAGAGTTAAATTACGGTCCGAGTTAAAAAACTCCATGGATAGCTACATGCCAAGCACTTCACTTCACTTCACTTCACTTCACTTCGATAGCCCTCTCCACTCGCCAAATCCCAACACCATGGACTTCGGTGGTGTAGGACGATACTGACTCAATTAGTCAACACAGAATTCAGTCACACTCACACTGGAAAGATAACAAAACTTCAAAAAACAAGTTGTGAAATGTGCTACTTGGCACAGTCACTTGTTTTAAAAGTAACAAATTGGTGGAACATAACAGCATAAATATCAATTCTAGATATCCATATTTGTAATATTAAAAGGTCTCCGAATTTCACCATAGTCAATACAATTTCCCATATCCAAATATGATTTTTTTAATAAATGAAAACTTTATATAGTACCAATTTGCATGAGTTATTTTTCAGCAATTTTCTACTTCTAACTATTTTTTTAATAATTTATTATCTAAATGTATTACTGTTACTTGTACTACTTTTCTCTAAACTTAATTAAAAATAGGCAAAAACAAAAGTACCTAAACCCATACCTCTTGCTACTAATGGCATAATTATAAATAATTAAAATTTTTGTTAGGTAGATATGTCCTAATATTTTAATTATAGTCCTATTTTACTTTATCTAAATCAACAAAATATTATAATACAATTATTTATTTTAATTAAATCAAAAATTAAATTAAAATTAAGAATAAGTACAATTATATTTTTAAATTAAAAATAAAGTCATATTGAAAAGGAGAATGCCAATAATTAGAGTTTAAAAATTATTAATAATTTATATAAAAGTAATTATAAAAATTATTAAAAATTAATACTTTATACAAATTATTAAAATTTATTTATTATCTTAATAACTTTAAAATTGTATTAACAACCCAAGAAAATTATATTTATATGATCATATATCACTTTTTTTAAAAAAAAATTATAATTTAGGCATTTTAAGATAATAAGCAATTAATACAACTATTTTACTAAACATTAATTTACTACCTTTTGTTATTTTTCAGTAGAATTTATAAATATCGCCACCTTCTATACTTTCAATATTTTTTTTAACTATTATTATTTTTAACAATTTTTTAGAAATAGTAGCTCGCGCAATAAATCGTTACAAATTTTCAATTAACAAAGTGCAAGGATCCATGCACTTCATGTTAACAAAAATAATCACTTTGGAAGTTAACACCATCACGAAGCTCCAATTATAGCATGGAAATCAATTTAGTGCATGGTATGAAAACCCAGAAACGACAGCGTAAGAACAACTATGACACAAGTGACGAGAAAAATAACTTCTCAATACAAGCATACGAGCGATTGGGAGTTCACAGGAGGGTACAGGTTGTATGATGAAATAGTAAGAACGAGAAATGCGGGCAAGAAAACTCACCACAGGAAGTGGCGGCCTGCGCGTTGAAGTATAGATCTGTCCAAAATATGTGTTTTCCCATATTTAAGTGTTTAATTCTCAAAACTTTCAATTTATCAAATCTGGCCCTTTTGATTTACTATTAGCCCTCTAGTTTTTGTTCTATTTGATTAAGTCCATTCCCTTTCTAATTTCATCCTAGAACTTTAAATCCTTCAATTGGATCCTTAAGCCTTAATAGACAAGCCCTTTTTACTTTCAAGAATGTAAACAGTCTCCCTTCAATGTCTGATTTTGCCAATAAGGCCCTTTCCTCATTGACGACGGGCCCTTTCAATTGGATCTGGCGTGAGCATTGCCTCTATCTCATTTTTTTTTCTTTCCTAGCCATCGACCGCCAACAAAGCTGATCTCCGGCTTTCCCTCTCTCCCCTAGTACACTTTCTCTCTGAATAAATCGAGGCAGGAAGAAGGTTACCTATGGTGGCCCTGGCATCAGATATTGCAGTCTTCTCTTCTCCTTCGGCTTCTTTTTTTCTCCCTCGCTAAATCTCTCTCTCTCTCTCTCTCTCCCCGTGCTTGCTGATCTCTCTCTTTCTATATGGCGAACTCCGCCAAGTTGAGGCTTTAAATAAGCCAATCGGCGAGGCACAAGGACCATAGTAGGTCCTTCGAGTTCACTATGGGCCTCCAGAAAGTCGGGCATGATGCGTAAGGGCCATAGCTTCAAACCATTTTCACTTTTGGATTACCCAACAATACTAACAGTTAAATGGCTTTTGCTATTCGAATAGGATATCGCTTTTCCCCAAGTTATTAGTTCAAACTCAGATGGCTTGCCATCGGTTCAAAAGGCTAAGGCTTTTGAGCCTTTTCCATGCCTGTCATGTACGATAGTAATAGCAGACTGAACCTTTCCATAATTAGCTTGGTAACGGACTTCCAAAATATATGCAAGCACACGCACTAGGTGGAAGAAGAATATAAAGAAAACCTTCTTCATTCTCACAATCAGCTAATGAGTTACTTTCCAGCTTCAGTGAAATAAATAAATTTGATCAGAGATTAAGAAAAAAAAAAAAATCCCATTTCATAACAACTTTTTTTTTTGACATTTTGATCCTCACATAACAATTTGTTTTCTTTTCTGTCCGTCTCTTTTGCAACGTTTTTCTATTAATTTATGCGTAAAATAATTAAGAAAAGCATATTAGTACCGGTGTGTGATGTGAACGCCGAATGACGGATGGCTGCGTCTTCGCTTTCGTCACTTCCTTGCACGTTCATTCATTCGATTCCGTCGTCTCCGTCGCCGTATGCCACCACTCAGTGCTTCCCACGAAATGCAGATCACCGAATCAGCTTTACTGTTTTATTCGCAGTTTCACCCTCTTCTATCAAAGACATATGGAGAAAAAACTTCAGTATCGCAGGAGAGCGACGCTGTCGTCGGCCTCCCACCTATCTTATCGCCGGAAACAGCAAGTAGTGCACTTAGACCACTTCATCGACATGGACGAGCTCTTGTCTTCGATTAACGGACCACAAACGAGCAAGAACTGTATGCTCTTATGTCGCCTTACAAGGGTCGACAACTCTCCATTAGGTTCATGGTCACACTTCTCTCTCGCGAACCTGATTGGCAACGATCTTTGGCTCTTCTGGATATGGATCAACGAAGAGGCCCTGTACACACCCTCTGTGTTCGCCTACAATGTCGTTATATACGTAATGTTCTCAGGCAAAGCAATGGCAACTCGCCTACGGGCTGTTCGACGAAATGCGCCAAAGAGCAATTTCGCCAGATAAATATACTTAATTCGACTCTCATTACGCATTTTGGAGAGGAAGGAGGGTATTTTGATGATGCCCTATCATGGCTTCAAAAGATGGAGCAAGACCGCGTGACGGGTGATCTCGTTTTTGTACAGCAATCTAATTGAGTTGTCCCGGAAGCTTTGTGATTATTCCAAAGGCGATTTCTATTTTTTCTAGACTGAAGAGATCTGGTATTTCGCCTGACCTCGTGGCTTATAATTCAATGATTAATGTTTTCGGGAAGGCCAGGCTTTTCTGGGAAGCTAGGTCACTTCTTCAAGAAATGCGGTCCATGGGCGTGATTCCAGACACGGTCAGCTATTCAACACTCTTAACCATGTTATGTTGAGAACCAAAAGTTTGTAGAAGCATTGTCTGTGTTCTCTGAGATGAAGAAAGCCAAGTGCCCGCTTGATCTTACCACGTGCAATATTATGATTGATATTTATGGGCAGCTTGAATATGCCAAGGAAGCTGATAAGCTTTTCTGGAGCATGAGGAAAATGGGAATTGAGCCGAATGATTGTTAGCTACAATAACACTTTTGAGGGATATGGCGAGGCAGAGCTTTTGGGGAAGCCATACATCTTTTTTAGGCTGATGCAGAGGAAAGATATTACCCAAAACGTTGTTACCTACAATACTATGATTAAGATTTATGAAGAAAATCACTGGAGCACGAGAAAGCCAATAATCTCATGAAAGAGATGCAGAGCAAAGGAATTGAGCCCAATGCTATCACCTATTCCACCATAAATATCCATATGGGCCCAAAGCAGGAAAATTGGACCGGCTGCAATGTTGTTCCAGAAACTAAGGACTTCTGGGTTGAGATTGATCAGGTTCTTTATCAGACAATGATCGTGGCTTATGAGAGGGCAGGGCTAGTTGGTCATGCCAAACGCTTGCTCCATGAGCTTAAGCACCTGGACAACATGCCCAGAGAGATTGCAATTACCATTCTTGCTCGAGCTGG